CACACACACACACACACACACACACACACACACACACACACACACACAAATATGACGGGCACCCCGCCAAGGGAACTGATCTAGGGCAAACGCTGCGGTTGTCTCGTCAGTGGTGAAGTGGTTCTATGTTCCTCCAGCTTTCTTCAGGTTCTTGAAGCAACAAGAAGTTCACCTCGTGGTGTTAAGCCTCCAGTATACTCCCGCGTACGTCCATACGCGGAGGTACGCATGTATGTATGAGAGTACACCCCAGGGCATGTCCGTGCAAAGCTCAATTTTTAGCGCACAATAAACTGCCCAGCGACGGACTGTTTTGTATGCCACACCAATGTATTAAATTCCTCTTCTTCATCTCTGATCTGGCCTTTTCTTTTGTTTTTTTGCCAAGAGGCAGTGATCTCTTCCTCCTCTGTTGATGCCATGACTGAAATGGTGAGAAATGATAGAATTTGTCACGAGCGAATTATAAACTCAGGTCCAGCGTGGCTGCGGGAGGGTCTGGAGATTTCCTGGTGGGTTGGTCTGATGTGTGGGCTGCAGAGCCAGCGCTCCCTGTTTTTTTTTTATTTTTGAGATTTTTTATTAACAACATAACAGAACACCGCTGCGGCTGCCAGCGCTAATTTTTTCTTCCTTCCGACCTGTCAATCAATCCAGTAGGCGTGTCAGCAAATGACCAATCGGCGACCTCAATTTGACCCGAAGGTAAACGCCCCTTGTCTGTGAAGCTGCTCTGCAGCTGCTCAGGGTGAACGCCTGAGTATGAAGTCTGAACCCTCTGCGTACAGTACACGCGTACGTACGCGTGGACGGTCGTACGTAGGAGTATACTGGGGGCTTCACTCATAAGACAGATCTGCGAACGCTGCGTTTGGGTAACTAATCTCACCTATGTGTTCACAGGAAATTGTTTGATTCGACGTGATCTTAAACTTCTTGTTCTCGCAGTTCATGATCGCCTCTTTCAAACTCAAAATGTGTTGAACAAAGAAACAAAAGGAAACTCTTAGACCATCTTAGAAAGTCTAACTGCGTTCCTCACAGTCAACCGGAGTCTTTGCACTGATTCAAATAAGTACGATCAGTTTTTACTTAAAGGCTGATTTATTTATTATTTATTTATTGTGTTGTACTGTGACTGCCAAGTGGTGAATGCTCATTTTTACAATCCTTTTAGCTAAAAAATAAAAAACGGCACTACTACTTTTTTTACAGTTATGTTTTGCGAGGACTTTATGAAGGAAATTGATATTTATTCCAGGAGTTCGTCTCCTTTCTATACTGTAGCACATGTTTTTACTTTATTTTTGGCAACTAGATCTTCCCTGTGTGTGTTTCTTAGTATGTGTGTGTGGTTCTTCTGGCTAAATCTGTTGTAGATTTTCTAACAGATTTGGCACCACATAAAAAGGAATCATATCATTAGGGCTAATGTTTTTGGGTTTCCTGCTAACCTGGGTTTAAAATTGTTTCTTGAAAATCATCGTGAGGTTGGGTCATCAAAGACTAGCAGGGTCGGATGAACTGTTTTAAACTAAAGTGCCTATTCAGGAACTCGATGACATGCAGATTTGTACATATTTTGATTTGATGAAAATGCAGAAAGGTGATTATTTTATGTTTTTATTTAATGTTGCTTTTTTTTTTGGGTTGTTTTTGACTCATTACACGCTGTATGATTTGGTCACAGCATGCTCATCACTAATGCAAAGGAGCGCCTGAGAGATTTCATATTAAACTTATTGTTCTTATAATACAGAAAATAACACTATGTTGCCAGTTATAAGAACAGCTTTCTGACTAAACTCATCTGTTCTTATTTGAATTTATTTAATGTTTTTGGAGAAGTGTGGAAAGATGTACTGTTTTAGCCTGGTTTTTACACTGATTGCATTGTGCACTTTCTATTAAACTAAGCGTATGTTTAGTTCTGACCATTTTAGGATATAAGTTCAATTGAATCTTCTCTTTTGACACCTCCGTCCTGATTTTGCGTTAATATTGTTTTTTTCTTTAATAACTAAAAGTCCTTTAAAATGTCAACTTTAAATGCAAAAATGTGTTGAATTATTTCAAGCTGAATGTGTTTTGATTAAACGGTATTCTCAGTGAGGTTTAAGTTTCTGGATAGTCACGAGATCTCCACTTCAGTCCTGGTTTAAATCCACACCTTTATGGGTATTTGTGGGAAATAACGTCTCCTAGAACTGTCGAGCTATTTCGTGTTTCTGCCGTTTGTGGAAACCGTATTTGTGCGATGTACACCTTCAGTCGGTCTGTGTGTGAAGGTTTCGACAAATCTGGAGGGAGAAACGATCTCAGATGAGTTCTGAGGAGCGTAAACCTGAAGTTATTAATTGTGTGTTGTCACTTTGACATCTTACAAGTGTACTACAGAAAATAAAAACATTTGAACTCGTCAAGGCCTGTTCTTTCAGATAGGGTACTGCTTTACGTCGTCACATTTCAATGGTCTGTCTTTAAGTGTTTATCAGCAGATTTAACGTAAATCCACCAAAGAACAGTTCATCAAGTAGGATCCTTACAGTTTAACAGGTACATTTGTTGACAGGTCCACATTAGGTCTAAAGTGTTGAGAAATGTTATTCCTGACGGTAAACTTGTGTTTGAAGGTCAGATTTTCCGTAAGTTTGATTTAAATGAAGACTTAAACGTCTGTTGCAATTAAATTGATTGTTTCATCAACTGAGATGAAGCTTGAACAGTAAATGTTAGACTTTGAAATGTATGTTTCTGTTATTTATGGTGGCTATTTGATTCAGCCTAATTTGTGTTAGGAATGTTACATCTGGTTGGTTTTTTAAAGCAAATTCAGTTTTATGTATTTAAGACAAACAAAAAAACAAATTGACCGACAGCATGTTCTGGTTAAAAGTGTAAAATGTTTTAAATATGCACGTGTTTTAAAAGCACATAGATTTAGTGTTTTTTTTTTTTTTCCAGAAACAAGCATTCAAATTTTTTCTACAGTTTTTCACATAAATCCTATAGAAGTGGCTTCAGAAAAATTGCTTTTGCTTGTATTTTGGTAAAAGATTGTGCATTATAATAGTAATCATAAATACTTGGGGATTTTTGTTTAAAATAACAAAAAATATGTTTATTTAGAGTATATCTGAATAATTCATGTAGGGGGATAATGAAATTGGATTGTGAAAAAAGTTTCCTATTTTATTAATTATATTTAAAACCTATTTTCGAGTATGTTTAATATTTAAAAACGTTTTCATGACTTAAAAAAAAAAAGAGCGTCACATTTTGTATTTTAGTTTGAAAGTCCTCAGCAGCAGCGCGACGTGTAGTTTTATTTTGAAGGCGGAGCCTCGAACCGAGCCTGACTGGTCGGGCTGCTCGGTCCACTTGGAGCCTCCAGCCCGTGTCGGTGAAGCAGAGTCCCGCAGCAGAGCTCGCTCCGAGTCCGGTAAGTTCAAACAAGATCCGCCGGAAGCACAAACCGTCCTGTTGTTCAGAACCGACCTGTCGGAGCAGGCTGTGTTCTCTGCGCGCGAGCGTTCATGTTTATAATCTTTAAAACAAAGACTGCAGCTTCTTATGAAGACAGAGAAACTGGTTTAATGAAACACTCGGAGACCAAGCAGGTTGTGACATCTGGAGAGGAAACCAAAGTTGTCTGGGGCGTTGTCTGTCTGTCTGTCTCAGTAAGGGTGCTACATGCTGACTTGACTTGTTAAAGACCAGGCTGCTCCTGAAATCTGGAACCAGTTAAGGAGTCCCCTTTTCATCCACCGAAGCTAAAAAAGTTTCACAGAGTTCAATAAAAATTCCTGTGCAGCCATTTTTCATTGCCTCTCTTTATTTCCGTGTGCGTAAAGATCCATCTAAAATTCCTGCAGCTGTCAGCAGGAATGCAGTGATGCTTGAAAGTTTGAACACCAGAATTTTCTATATTTCTGCAGAAATGTGACCCAAAACATCAGATTTTTCACACCAGTCCTAAAACTATATAAAGAAAACCCTCTTCAACAAATGAGATGCAATATTATACTTGGTCATTTATTTATTGATTGAGGAAAATGATCCAATGTTACACATTTGGGAGTGACAGAAGCATGTGAACCTCCAGGAGTCGCAGTTAATTTGAAAGTGAAATTAGAGTCAGGTGTTTTCAACCAATGGGATGAGGATCATGTGTGAATGGACACCCTGATTTAAAGAACAGGGATCTATCAAACATATTTGTGGAAGTGTGTATATATCTCGACCTCCAACGCTTGGTCCTCCGACATCAGACCCGGACGACTGCACCCTCCAACCAGGCACGATCCACCGTGCCGACCAGCTTAGCTGGTTTCTTAGTTGTGTCCTTACTCCCGCTAGTCTCTGCTCTTCATCATCGCACTTCAGTCTCTGCCAACCTGCTGACCGGCTTGCCCCCGACTGTTGCCCCTCGGTGGTGGTTGCACACCCAGCCATTGTGCTCCCTGGCCGATGCGCCTCCCACCCCTCAGCGGTGGCTGCACACATCTGCCGTTCTGTTCGTTGTCCTGCGCTTTTTATTTCCCCATTCCTGGCTTTCATGTCATTACAGCTGATGGAGAACACCTGCATGAGCTGTCAGATGTCTCTGGCTGCGTCACAGGTGGCAGCCTCAAAAAAATGAACCGAGCAGCAAGTTTAAACATGCAAACAAAAAAACCACAAAAAAGCCACATTACTACACTTCTCTCATGTTGGCTAATGTTACTGTTCATGAGTCCACCACCAGGAGAACACTGAACAACAATGATGTGCATGGCAGCGTTGCAAGGAAGCCACTGCTCTTACGGATCATCCAGAGCTACGTCACCTGCCCAGCAAAACTACAAACTACATCTGAACCTCCACTTCCTCATCATGTTGACGGATGACGCCACAAGAAATGAGCGCATTTACCAAGAGCCATCGGAGATGATGGCGCAGCATGGCTACACCCGGACTCATAAGCAGAGCCGAAATAAGCTAATGAAATTCAAGTCTGACTATAGGGGGAATGACCACAACAAGCAGAGTGGATAGAACACAGAAAATACCAGTTACGATACCGCCCACTTTGCATTATCCATCTCACCCACAGAGTGGGGAAACTGGTCAGCCTCCACTGTAGTGGCAAATCATCCACACCTGAGAAGAACCAAGAAGAGAGCCAAGTGGAGCTGCACATACCAACGGCAAAGCAGCTTTATTCCTAGTTGGGTTGGGAACAGGTCTGGGATACCTGGACCTGTTGCCTGGCTTACATGGCCCTCCTCACAGGTGGAGGGCCCACGTGGAGGTGGTATCCTGTCTCGCTTTCAGGCTTGGCCCAGGAGACGAGACTCAACCACCAGGTGCTCGCCGGCAAGCTCCCCGCCCCAAGGCCTTTCTCCAGGGAGGTGCCAGTTTCCCTTTTCCAGACGAGGTTTCCTGATGCATGCGTGTATCCATCAAGGTTTTTGAATCCCTCTTGATCTGACCCGTCCCGAGACCCTAGAGGCTGATGGCACAGACAAGGTCACGATTGTGTGGTGGAGGAGGACCACACAAGATCTGTGTGTAAAACTGGCATGCAAGGTTGCAGATATGCGCTCCCTTCAAGGCCACAAAGTGCAACCTCATGCTCTAGAAATAAAACATGAGCACTTAAAACGATTTCCAACCAGCTGAAGAAACAAGAAGCTAAAGTCGTGTTCAACGTGATGTGACATCTGTCGTTGGATATGCTCTGAAATCTATACCATGCAGAAACAGCCAGCTCAATCATCACAGTCAGACTCAAACCCCAGAAGGTCAGCGGGAGTTAAAAGTCAAAGGCGTAGTTAAAGCCGGAGTTTGTCTGAGCTCATTCTAATAAAACGTTACAACCTCATAAAACTTTATGCATCTGGTCTGACTTCATGTGACAGTAGCTCCCTGTTGAGCTGTGTTTAACATGTAAACCGTGCACATACGCTGTCCTTTTTCTCATCTCCATGGATGTTCTACCAGAGTTTTTAATGGACTTCTAAAGCTTCAGGAGTGACTGAGACAGTTGTGAGTTCATTATTTTCTGTCCTGGAGATACTACAACTTGTTGTGATACGTCTGGGTTTGCTGACGCAAGTCATTTGTTATGAAATTGTTCTTGTGCTTTGCAGGATTGAACGAGTTGGCCAACGATAAACCTATTTGTACATGTAATATAGAAAGTTGTCTGGAAGCATCAGCTTAACATTGAGAGTTGGGAGAACGGTGGGCTGAGTAAAAACTGGATCAGAAGTTCAGCTACTTAAAAATAACCTCTTAAGTTATTAGCATCTTTACTGTTTCTGTTATTATTAAAAAACATATTTGACCAGTGCTGGCAGAATGAGTCACAATGAGGATATTTTAATATAGAATTAATATTATTGTTAAACTTTCCATCCCAGAGGCTTTAAAATGATGCATATTGAAATTTGGCCACTTATAATTTGGCCAAGCTAGTTTTGTTCACGAGGGCCGGTTTGAGGAAACTGCCTTCTTTGCTTTTTTCCAAATTTGTGTACGTTGCTTCCTTTTTTTGATTATTTCATACGTCTTTTATCTGTATAATTTGGATGCCTCAAATTTCCTGGGGACTAATAAAAGTATCTATCTTTCTAGCTACCTGTATCTATCTTCAAGTGGAGGACTTCAAGTAGCTCGATATCTTGTTCAGGATAGAGCAGGAGATGGGTTAACAGATTGAGACCACAGTAATGAGGAAGTTGCTCCGGTTTGCTATGATACTTTAAAGCAAAGATCTCGATGTACAGGACTGTTTTATGTTCTGGTGCTCATTGGTGGCCAAGAGCTTTAGATCATGGCCACCAGAATAGGATTCTGGATACAAGTGGCTGAAATGAACTTCGTTTGTGGAGTGAGTGGCTTTGTAGGATAAAATCAGTCTATTTCTCAATTTACAGTCACCAACTAGTCTCCAACAGTCGCAGCCCAGTGCTTTAGTGACAATAGTTTTGTCATCCAGGGAGAGGTCGGAGTAGAGCCACTGCTCCCCTACATTGAAAGAAGTCAACTGGCGTGGTTCGAGAACGAGACAATGTTTGAAGGATTGTGTAGATATAAGATTGAGTTCAAGTAATCTTCCATTTTTTGTTGCATTCTCCAACTTCCTTCTCAGCTTAAAGCTACGGTGTCTATTTTAGGAGAAACTTTGTATATTTCATCAAGACGACTCTAACCACGTTCTACACGGAGCACCACAGCAGCCCGACTGCGCTGAAAGTCTGCCTGGAGTCCCGCAGGCCAAGTTAATGTTATCTCCGTTATGAAATAAAATATATGAACTTTCAAAGCTGCATTTCTATTTGATGCAAGAACCAGGAAGCATGTCGCTAACAAAAACCTGAACGCTCCGTTTCCAAAAGCTTAGGAAACGTTAAAAGAGAAGGTGATAACAGGATACCACGATAACGTTCTCCTTTAGAAGTCTTTGGAAGGACTTTAGTAAAATGGGAAGCCAAGACAAAACACATTTTGTGGGGTTTATGTAGTTTTTAAAGTTATTAGAGAGAGTTTGGTTCTTCCTGTCTCACTAATCATCCAGTGGCTGTAGCTTCTCATTAACAGACCAGAACATTCAACTCTGAATAAAACACAACTGTGTTCCAAATCTGTGCAAAAACATCCAAGTTTTGAAGTTTTACACGTCTCGGTGCCTCAGACTGTCCTTTTAATCGTTCCCCCATATGAGGAAAATCTTGGGTGCTTTCTTTTTTTTTTTTTTTACCCATTTAAGGACTTTTTATTTTTAAATTCAGAAAGGGCTCAGCTGGTCACTAGTAGAATCTGGAAAAATGATTCCAAGCGGAGATTTGCAGGGAGTTGGTTGGAGGTTTATGGGAGCAGACTGGAACATTGTGGAGCCGAACAAGCCCATGAGACATCCTGAGAATTTCTCACTTCAAATATTTTCTGTCGGCTCTGAACCGTAAGAAAGCCTCCAAACAGAACGGCTCAACATGGACGGGATCGTCTTACCCTGACGAATGTCTCGGACACTCACAGAAATGAACAGAACGATGTCTCGGTCCCTGAGGACGGAGACAGTAACTCAACATATAGGTAACATAAATATGCTCGGTCTTGACTGTTACATGTAACAAGACAAAGTGAAGCGGGTAAAGAGCTTCTGGTAAAGCCATCATGTCCGCCCCGTTGTAGCGAGATGCGCCGTGTTTCTACACGACTTGGGTTTGTTGGACCAGCTTCGTTCCTCTGGTTGGAATGTGGCTCACCAGAGCCAGAGAAAACAATTATTCAATCGTTCGCTGAAGGGCTCTAGTGGCGCACAAATGTTCAGCATAACTTGCTGCTCAGTTTTCAGCACTTGTGTTTATTTTTATAACGGCACGATGGTGGGTTAAGATTAAGAAATGCCAGCAAACCTCAAAGACGTTCCACATATTTGTCGATGGATCAACA